ACTGGAATTACAGATATAGGTCGGTAATTACTCGGGTTATTCCTAGTGCCACTTTTATAGAGAGTAACTAGTAACTAGCCTACATTTAAAAAGATTTAATCTTTTCTGTGCGAAAACGCACGTATGAAAAACGCGTACTGGAGAGCAGTCTTTAGTTTTGGTTTGTGAAAACACCACGTAAATGTATGATCAGCAGAGTTCAGACTTGACTTGTTTAATTCACTCGTCCCTTTAATTGTACGAAACCCCCAAAAAACAAAAGCGCCGTGATCTGTTTGCTCGCGTGATATTTCTGTTAATAATCTGTTTCATCATAAACCAGTTTCGGAAACGATGAGTAATTTCGGTAATTATACGATAAAAGGCTTTGTTGGTATAGAAACGCAACTATACCTGAAAATATGAGAAGAATTTCGACGTTTCGAACAAGAGCCCGTTGTCACTAAGATTTTACATGCTTGCTCTTTTGATGCATGTACTTTCTCCTGTCAAATTTACCGGAAAACGTACTCGTTTGGCATCGAAGAATTAAAGTTCAAGGCCATAAACACTTTCGCTTCAAATGCACACTTACTATCGAATTTTCCTGTATAGTATACACAGGAGTAAGAATTTTCTCAGCGAGGTAAGAAATGTTACGTCTGCTGTTCTTTGCCCTGCTCGCCATCCATATTTCGATCATGGGTTATTTCTGGTGGATGAAAGAAGAAGTAAAGCCTTTCGACATAAAGCCAATAGCTGCTACGGTGAACCAACGTTTTGATTCTGTGCAATCGACAATTAATATAGTTGAAGCACCAGTGACGCTTTTTATGCGGATGACTGGATTGCACATAAAGCGATTTTACTGTGACTTTTTGAGGACAGCCGTCTTGTTTTGGCCCGCTTCGTATGGAAAAATAGTCGTGGTTTTCGATCAGGAATCGTCTCTGGATCACAAACTAGCGAACATTTTGGAGAGACAGTTTCATCAATTCTTCCCAGATCGCAAACTTGAAATACTCTACGAGCCTCTTCCGGTGAATTATGAAACGCTGTTGAAGCTTCCTTGGCCGAAACGTGACACTGGCTACAATCGTCAAATTTGGAGCAGCTTTCTTAATGATTTATACACGAACGACACAGTCATTGCGTGGGTGGATTCTGACACTGCATTTTCTACTTCAGTGACGCGAAATTCCATGTACAACGGTACACGATTGAGAGTGATAGGAACTGATTGCACGCTATTACACGCAGATTTTGCTAGAAGTTGTGTGAAAAGTGCGGAGATCTCCATTGGGCTACCGGCTTTAGCTGACTTCATGCTGCATTTCCCTATATACATGTATCGCGATACGTTTGCTAACTGTAGAGAATATTTAATGCGAAGATACAAAGCACGCAACTTTGAGGAAGTCTACAGGAACATTAGTGCTCAACTACGCATGGCACTTCGAGAGAGATCGCTACGACTGGAGTCTCAAGATTTGCACCTCACCTCTCGATGAATACAACAAACGCTTTCAACCCAACGCAACTATCAAGCCCTACGACATACAACCTGTCATGGCAGCCCCTCAATCAAGCATTCATACTGGTGAACCTGAGTCGGCACTTGATTCGGCTCAATTAATTCTAGCGAGTTATTGTTTGTCGCACAAAGCGGCGGGGCACAATCTAACATTCTGTACCGGCAAACGCAACCTTCCACTGAGCAATAACCTTATTCTTTTCACATATGCAAGAGCGCCGGAGACGTGTAATGGGAATTTGAAATTCACTTGTCTCGTTGTCCTGCACCGTCACTACAATCTGGTAGGCTCTGAAATTCTAGGGGACAAGCGCAGGATGGAATGGAGTGACGTGGAAATTGTTGAAAAACTTGTGAAGGAAGTAAATGCAACGTATCCTGTTATTCATAACGGGAGCCCGGGGGGAAAATCCCTGTTGCATAAAAGTTAAGGCCTGTTTGCACCAGTGACCTCCATATATACCTGGAGCACGAATTTTAGTCATTCCGTACCTATATACGCTGTGTTTTGGTATATACATGAGCATACTCACGAGCATACATACTGGATTATATAGATTAAATTCACTATAGATCGATAGAATTGATAGATATACATACATACATACATACATACATACATACATACACACACACACATATACATACACACATACATACATACATACATACATACATACACACATACATACATACATACATACACACATACATACATAGATACATTCATTTGGTTTTATTATTATTTATTAAAAACTAAATTGCGTGCAGTTACTTATTTTTTGACTCAAGTATAAGTTATTTACAAAATGGATTAAAAAGTTAAAAAAATTTAAAATAGCTATTTTTTTAAGAAAATTATGGAAAACTGGAATAAATGTTTTAGAAAATCTTTGTGTGTTAGCTTTGGGAATTTGGAAATTTAATTAAATTTCGAAATTCCCAAAGCTAACACACAAAGATTTTCTAAGTCACGACCTTTCTTCCTCAGTAGTAATTATTACATTATATGAGTGTGATTTGTGTTATTTGGTACAAGATTTTTACAGTCTTTCAAAATGACCTCTTACAAATAATCAATAATCCTAAAATCCTATCCAAGTAATCCATAATCTTTTTTCTTAACCTGCGATATTAAAATCCGTAATCCTGCCCAAAAAATGCCAAAAAGACCCATTGCACTTGACGTCACAGCGCCAGTAACGATGCTCTGGAGGACAAATTAGCAATCTACGCATAATAGTTAATAGGGTGTTTGTATTCCGAGTATTGAGTAATGAGTAATGAGTAATGAATTTTCCTACTTGCTTTGGAAAGATAAACCATGAAAACATTGCCAGTGATTCCACACACTCTTTGCCGTGAATAATTATAATGTTGTGACGATGTCAGCAGTTTAAACTGGTATGATCAAATATGGCCATATAAATTTCGCTTATAGCATACTCGTTTTTAGCATGTCACATATTAACCAGTTCAGCCTTCAAAACGATCGTCCCAAAGCTGAACAACATGTTCGCAATAGTATACTGTATAGAATACAAGTGCTGTCGTATAAAGGTTGGTTTTATGATAAATTCAGTTCGGTCGCCATATTTGTTTTGCTATCTGCGGTCATGCAGCCAGTATAAAATCCGCAATTTGACGTCCAAACGTTTTTAAGCTCGAAAACACTTTCCATACCATTTTGTTCGGCTAAATTCAGGTTTTCAGTTTATAAAACCAAGATATTACTCTTTAAATCGATTTTTGTCGACCGCTATATTGGTGTTTATATAATTACTTGTAATTCTACTATTGCGAACATGTTATTCATCTTGGAGACAAACGTTTTGAAGGCTGAACTGGTTAATATGTGACGTACTAAAAACGAGTATGCTATAAGCGAAATTATGGCCATATTTGATCATACCATGCAGTTTAAACTGCTGACACTATCACAGCATTATAACTATTCACGCCAAGGAGTGAGTGGAATCACTGTGATGTTGTCATGGTTTATCTTTTCAAAGCAAGTACGAAAATTCATTACTCATTACTCATTACTCATTACTCGGAATACAAACACCCATAATTTTGTAATTAAAAGTGATATTTTTAGGCTATTTGTAAGAATATTCTTAAAAAATTATCGTGTTACAATGGTCGTGTCAGCAAGGCGAGGGTTTCTGCATGCATGTATTTTCTAGTATATCTCTCTGAAAACGACAAAGTTCCGGTTCCGGTCATCTGTTTTTATTAGGCCGGAACCAGAACTCTGAAAAATCAGGGTTCTGGTGAGTGCATAATACCGATCCTCTTAGTTTTCCTTAAGACTGCTTTCCAGTTAAGCGTTTTCATATCCAATTCATGTATTGCTGACTGGAAGAACAATTTGTTTGACGATGGTGTGTCATCGCACACTCCTCCTCTAGTGCACCTCTGGCTCTGATTTTTATTTCACCCCATCTAACGCTGGATAATATTAAATAATATTACACGTCAAAGGGAGAGCACTGCTAGTGCACAATGAACTAATGACCAATGTCACACTAAGAATATCATTAGATCAATCAACACTTCCTAAGGTTCAACAATAGGAGTATGCTCTGGGGGGGGGGGGGGGG